TACCTTTGGAAGAGCACCAGTGCTGCTGGACCACGTCACTCGCAAGAGGTCGATTCCAGTTTTTGGCAAGAGGTCACTGTGCCTCTGAAGGGGGGAGCGTTGCCCTAGAATCGGGGTTGCGGGAGCGAGCCTTTGTGGCCCAGGCTTACGCGCTGGCCAGCGGCCAGGGCCGCCCGGATCATTTTCGCTGTAGTGTTCTTAACTGATTTTAAGTAGATTATGGTTGGATACGCGCCCTGCTGTGCTGGTTCAGGTTTCCATCGGCCTTGGTTGTCTCATTGCTGTTTTATTGGCACGTTGTTTAGCAAACAAGCGGGCGATGTGCGATTGAGGAAAAGCCTCTCCACGTAGGCGCATAGAGCAGAGCCCAGCCAGAGCCGGCCGGCCGCCATAAATCAGCGTTAAACGCCGTGCTTTGTTCGGGTGTCAGCGCAGAGATGGGCTCTTATCGGCGTGTATCAGCCGCGCTGATAACCCCGCGCTCGCTCAGCGCAGCGCTGNTGTGTGCAGTGTCACACTGGGAGCTGTGCATGTGTGCAGTGTCATACTGGGAGCTGTGGCTGGGTGCAGTGTCACACTGGGAGCTGTGGATGTGAGCAGTGTCACACTGGGAGCTGTGGATGTGAACAGTGTCACACTGGGCGCTGTGCATGTGAACAGTGTCACACTGGCTGCCCGCTCACGTGGCAGTGACACGCTGATCCTCGTCGCTGCTGCCGTGTCTCTGTCGCGTGCTCGAGCGTGGCTGGGTGGCTGACAGGCGTGTGGGGAAGGGCAGACAGGGTTTCTGCAGTGTCACAGCCCACACGTGTCCAGTTCAGCTCTGTCAGACCTCTCAGGCTGTGCAGTTCTCCTTTCCCACAAGAGCAGGCAGCTCCTGTGCAGCTCCATTGGGCTGGCTGCAGCTGACTCCAAAATAACTTACTTTGGGATCAACTCAGTGTGGAGAGCCCCCGTCCCACCACCCCAGGCGACAGCCCCCCATCCAGTTGCATCCTCAGAGCGACTCTCAGGTTCCCCTTGTGCAGCAGGCAGGGCACAATGAGGGGCCTGTTCCTGGCCCCTCCACTCCCCCGGGCTGCCACAACGCACGCGGGTCCGGTGTCCGCGCTCGGACGGAGCCTGGTGCTCATCAGTGGGGTTCAGAGGAAGCTTAATGCACCGTGGCTGCACACTGAGCAGCTTTCCCGGGGCTTCCGCCCTCCCCCTTGCAAACAGCTTTGTGCATTTAGGCTTTTTTTTAAAATAAAGTCTAACACGTTTAATCATCTTTTCATAAGCTGTCAGCTTGCCGCGCGCCAAAGCAGAGCAGCGCGCTCTGCCCCGGCTCCCAGCAAAGCAAATATGCCTGGAGAAATCCTGCTCCTGGGAGCGTGCACACTGGGGCTCAGGAGCTGTGAACTCTCCTCTGGGTCTGGGGTGAGATCAAAAATCAGTTTTTGAAAGTTATGGATTTTTCACTGAATTTGAAACAGATCTTATTTTGCACAGCATCTTTGCTCCAGTGTTCCATAATTCATCTCTGCATCAGCAGTGCTGGAAAACTCAGTATACTGGAAAACTCCAAATACATCAAAAGCAGAACACAGCTAGTCCTAGGAAAACATGGGAATGTGCCTGTCCCCCACCCTGTAGGTTCTCTGCAAGAGCAGGGGGACAGGGCGTGGGCACAGCTGAAGCCAGGGCCTAGAAAGCCAGAGAAGGAGCTGTGTCCTTGTGTGCCTGTCTGGGGTGGAATGAGGAGATTATGTGTCTAACAGCACTGGAGGAGTGTGTGTGTGATGGAAATGGGCAGTTGTATGCAGAGTGGAAGATGATGTTGGTTTGGGCATGGTGGAGAGTTGCTGCTCCTCTTCCCTTCCCATTCATACAGGATGGGTGATGCTGGGGCACCTTCTGGCTGAAGTTTTCTTCCCGGATGTTTTTTGTGGACTAAGCATCTTGAAAAAGGAATTTTCTTTCTTACTGTAATTGTGGAGACTGCTTGGTTTTAGTCTCCATGCACTAGCTGCCTCTTGGAGAAGCATCCCAAGGCTGTCCTTGCCATCATCCCTTGAAATGCAGGCTGCTGCATTGCCCAGTCCTTGTCTTCCCACAGACCTGATGCTGCTGGTTGGGATATTTCCACTGGGGAAGCAAACATTCGCGTCTCCCTGTCCAAGTAACTGATAAAGCTGAGGACTAGAAGTGGATCTGAATGGATCCCTCATTTTCCTGGGGAGAATGTCCATGCTTTCACCTGGTCCTCCTCACACAGAAAGCCCTTCCTGAGGAACCAGCGGCTCAGGGGTTTAATGCTGGAGGTTAATAATAATCACACCAGGCAGCACATCATTGCACCGTATCTGGTTGAGAGATTTACAAGTGAAACTCGTGGCGGAGGAAGAAATTGCCTCAATCACTCGGAGTAATGGCACATGGAGAGGCACTTGGGCGTGACTGCTACTTAACACGGAGCCCAGCTTGGCTTCATTTAGCTGCTGGTGCCTTTCTAATAAACACGTTACACTACAAGGTGGGGATTAACATCAGAAAAGTAAATAAATTGGAAACTGATGGGGAGAGATGGGAGGGAAATGGAAGGTACCGGGAGGAGTGACAAGGAACTGACTCCCATGCCAGGACATGGGGAAATGACCCTGAAGGCCATGGCTGTAGCTTTCCAAGCATCTCTGTGGGCCTCACCTGTGGCCTGCAGGTGCTGGGCAGCCCCACGGCCGGGGTATGTGGGGTGTCCCTGCTCAGGGCCACCAAGCTGGTCTCTGCTTTCAGCAAACGGTGGCTGTGGGAAGTTGATGTCTTAAACAATTCAGTAGCTTTTACTATATGTATTAGAGGAGCAACAAAAAGTGCAACGCACCAGTTGACAGGAAGGACTGGGGGGTTAATTTTCAGGATGCTGCCTGGGAATTTAGCCGTGGGATTTCCATTATTGCTAATGGGACTCATGCAGCTTAATTTCATGTGAGCTACACTAAAAACATACCTCTAACTGCCTGCAAAATTTCAGTCTTGAAATCAAGCCTTTTAAAAGTTAGAGAAGGGTAAACAAATACCTGAAACCACAGTGTCTCACTATTTCCCCCTTTCAGCTGTTTGGATTTTAAAGTCTGGAAGAGGGAGGAACTCAAGCAGTTTGAGACAATTAAAAACCCCCATCCTGCAGGAACGCTGGCTGCCTGTGAGGTGCATCCCTGCTCTCTGCCAATTACAGCAGCAGAGTTATAACCCCCGAAAAAATGGGACTAAGCTGATGCCTTACCCTTAACTATAGTACGGCGAGCACGGCGTTACCACACGCGTCTAATAACCCGCGCAGCGCCGCCGTGCATCGCGAGGCCTCCGTTATTAGGCTGTTCTCGTTAAATGACTGCTATCATCTGGTCCCAAAGTACATTAAATCCCATTATAATTATAAACACACTTCCCCATAACGTTCTCCTTAGATTACATTTGCGCTGCTTTACCCCAAGGGTATCTTTGTACTAATGCCGTCCGCGTTTGTTGTTTTAGCTGAAGACACCGGGCCCTTGCTGGCTGTGTTGTGCCACGGGTGCGGCAGGGAGGGAGGGAAGGAGGGAGCGCTGTGCGGCTGCCACCCTGCCCCGAGGATTACAGCGGTCTCCG